GAAGGGAGCAGCTGCAGGCGGTAAGAGGAGGGGTGAAAGTGCCTGGGGGCAATGGTGGAGGGGCTCGCTGGTGGGAGAAGACTTCTCTGAGCACATGGAAAGCGCCCTGGGGGGCTCTCCTCTCTCCCAAAAAGGGGCTTTGGCGGAGCTGCTGTTCCCTGCCTGGAGTATCTAGTCCTGAGCTGGCTACCCTGCTGCCGAACCAGCATCTCTTCCTGCATCACCAGCTGCAGTAACCCTTTACTGCCCGATGGCTGGCAATACACCTATACGTGTCTGTCACTCGACAAACTCGCTGTCATTGCATTCTCCTGCCCACCTCACTCGCCGTGAGCATGGAGAGGGTGCGGTTTCCCGGCACATGGGGCTGGGAGCTCTTCTGGCAGACTTTAGGAGTCTGTCCTGAGACCACGGAGCTGTCGCTGGCTCAGACAGCGCCTGCTCGGGCACCGACATAAACAGGATACGGTCGAGAGTCTTCCGGTGCGGGGCTATGGGCCGGTAGCGATGTGCCAGCACCGGCTGGGCCTGGGCTCGTAGGGCCCTGCCCCGTGGGTTTATGGCTGCTGGGGACATTAAACCGATGGGTAAGCAGGGGGGTGCCGGGCGCTGCGTCTGTGGAAGCAGCTTCGATGGGACTGGGGTGGTGGGCGGCCCAGGGGACCCCGTGGTGAGGCCAGGCTTGCCTCTGCGTGTGGCTCTGGGTGGGGGGTTTAATGAGGCTTTGGATTTAAAAGATACTTTGAGCATTTCTGGGGCAGGAAGGAACAAAAAATACTGTGTGGTTCAGAAAGTACAGGGTGGAGTTGGTGCTGTTAATAGTAAGACAGAGATTTGCTAAAAAACCCAAAACAGCCTTTTCTGCTGTTCTCGGTTGTCATTGTGTTGTGTGTCCCTGTCCCTTCCCCCTCCGCAGTACCCTCTCAAATAGCATATTCCAGCTGTAATGATGACTTTTCAGAAGACACCCAGATGGGTGGGGAAAGGAAAGGTATAAGGAGAAAGAAAGGTTTAAAAACCTAGAAAGCTTTTTCTTGTCAGACGCTGCTGGTTTGCCTCTGCAATTAGCTTATACCTGTGGGAGGCATGCTTGGAGAGCAGGTTCACGCTCCCTTACTGAAGCCTCAGGGCAAAGTCCTCCCTGTGCCCCTACCAAGAACTAGAGACTTTAGCGCCTGTGGTCATAGGCTAAGGAGGCAGGACGAGTTTGATCCTGCAGTAACAAGTATGGCTTGCTGCCTCCTCCCAGGTGCCAGGTCATCCAAGCATGGCCACCCAAATGTTTGAGGGGAAGGGGCACGCAGCTATCTACCAGAAATACAGGTTTGCGCCAGGCGAAGAGCTGCAGCAAGTCATCCTCAGCTACCTGCGGGAAAAGGTGAGTGGGGCATGGCCAGGC